ATCATTTTAAAAAGAAAGCTTTGAGCTTTAATTTAGAATAAGTCTCATTCTTTAATTTCAATAAATACGGCTTCCAGGAATTTTTAAATTAGCATCTTTTTTGACACTTTTAGGTTATACAAAATGTTAGTTTTAACTCAATACTCTTTTTCTCAATATTTTTTTAATTCAACCCATCGATTGTTATACATCGATTTAAACAGAAAGCTTCAAGCTTCAATTTAAAATAAGTTTTATTTCTTAATTTCAATAAACACGGTTTCCAGGAATTTTTGAATTACCATCTTTTTTGACACTTAGGCTATGCGAAAATAGGGGGATTCTGTCACAAAGTTTCAAAATGTTTGACTTCTTGGGACACAAAGGGTTAATCTAATATATATCAATAAACAATTAAGATATCAAGATGATTTATAAAGCATTTATTGCAAATTTAATCCAGTATCAATACACAAAAAATATTTCTTACGCTTTTAAAATTCTTTATTTTAATTCAATTCTGCGTTGATAAAAATGTAATTTAAAACGCCGTATCTCACGAACGTATTGAGATATCGCCATGAAATAAAAACCATTTTGAAGCAAATTAAATCCAATATTAACTCACCAAAAATGTTTCCTTCGCTGCTATAAATGCCGACGTTATGACTTTTTTAATTTATTAAATGAGAATGTAATTTTAAAGGTTTCCTATTATTAAGAGGGTTTTCTGTTATGGATTTCCGCTTTAAAGGTGTAGGCGTTTGAACTGTAGATGGCCATTGCTTTCCTGTAACAACATAAACTGCGCAGGTCCGATCAATTTTCCAACAGAACGAAAACGCGAAACTTGCTTCAACGACAACTATTATTGCTTTTCGCATCGAGACGACGGTCGTGGTACCGAATCAGTGAAAATAAATAACACACATTTACTTGGATATCCCTTTTAATAATTCCGGTGAGTATAGTTTCATTTAAATTCCATTTCGGGGGAAAATTTTTGAAAATATCAATAATTTCCTGTTATACCGGCGAAGAACGTACAAGTTTTTTAAAATCACTTAGTTTTCATGCAAATTTATTTAATTATATCATCACCTTGAATAGTATCTTATTTATGGTCAATAACTTTTACCTATAAGTAGTCATTTCTAAAAATAAATCAACTTAGAACTGTTAATGTTATTGCAAAATTACCAGGCGTTATGTATTTTGATGAGCAACGTTTAAAAATAAACCTGTGCATTAAATTCAATTGCTTGATTAGCTTTATTTATACATAAATTTTGATTACATTCATTTCGAGATTATTTGCAATATAAATAAAGAATAATTTTAGATGTTGAGTACCAGGTACGAATTGACGCGAGCTTTCAGGTTTCAGGATATCGTTTCATGATATTAAAGCAAACTTTTCGATCAATATTTATTCTTAGAAAAAATTTATCAAGTCTCTTAATTTTTATGCATTTCTATTAAATGAATCGTTTCTTATCGTTGAAAAATAAGTCATTAACTTTTTGTTGAACTCATATCTCAATTATTTCAGGAATTTCTTTAACATATTGTGACCTAGATTAATAATTTTTTAAACTTCTAGGAATAAAATAATACATAATAATGGGCGGTTTTCAACAAAGACCTTGGACACCTACGAAGAGACGTGGTCCAATTGCTGCAGAATTCAGTGGGCCTGGACCAGCTGCCGTGTCACTGCCAACATATATAGGTACGAACCCACACAAATTACCTTCATAATAACTTAATAAATAAGAATTAGAAAGTTATCCCGTTATTACACATTTACATATTCAACTCTTTTCTAATTAATTTTAATTAATGTTTTCTTATTCATAGGCAAGAAAACGTTTGAATCAAAATCGGGAAGAGCTCCCGCATTCAGTTTTGGAGCCAGGCATAATGGAAAAGTGGAAAGAGTCGGTCCGGGACCCGGACAATATAATGTTACAGGACTTAGCGCTAAAGGAAAAGATACACCACCGGCTTTAAGTTTACATAGTAGACCTAAAGAACAAAAAATTGATAATTTTCCGGCTCCAGGCGATTACGATCCTGATAAAGCTGAGAAAGCTATTAAAGATGCCGCTCCTAAATATACATTTGGGTTAAAAACAAATGTTGAAAAACCAGTTGATACGCCAGGTATTAATACACAACAATTATTTTTAATAATTCTTTCTTTAATTTATTTTTGGGTATTAAAAAGGGCCTAACAGGTATTTTTGCAATAAGGTTAAGGAAATAAATGATTCTCCAAGATATTCTTTTGGTAGACGAACTCCAATAAATAATAATTCAAACACTCCCGGTTGGTTATTAATTTTAATTAATATACAGTGCCCATCAAAAAGTCAGCAACACCTTCTTTTTCTTGGTTCCATTGCCCCTACGTTTCTGAAATATTATTTATAGGGAAAATATTTTTAGAATTCTTTACAACTTTAATACAACATAAGAGATAATTTCTGAAACGTAGGTGTAATTGAATCAAAACAAATAGGGTATTTCTGACTTTTTGTTACACTCTGTACAGGGTGTCCCGTTAAGCGTACGGAGCGGCTGTATCTCAACAACGGTAAGGCCTAGAGGTTTGGGAAAAAAATCCTTATAAGCAAAGTGGGCAAGAGAAATAGCTGGAAATTATTTTGAAGTTCGTAATTCGACCGCTAGGGGGCGTAACTGCCATAGAGAAACATAAAATTCCCGCTATCTCAGAAAGTTAGACGATGAGCTATAACTTTGACAACATCATTTAGTAGCTTGGATAATACCGCATCGCTTTTGTTTTGCAATATTTTTCATATCTGTCATAATAAGGGAGGGGGAGGCCAATGCGTTTTCAAATGTTTACATTTTAATATCTCCTGGACCATTCAACCGATTTGAATATTTTTGGTCTTGTTTGAAAGAGCATTTCATGCTCTTTTAAAAGATATTTTCAGTAAGACCGCTTGGTTTAAAACAAATAAGCTAGAGGGCGTTATCTGCAGCGGTTACATATTTTTGTGATTTTTGAAAAAAAGTTAAATGGAACGGTACTATTTACTTCACAGACCGTTAATCACCATAAAATTTGCTAAATATTAGTGAAAACCGCATCTCGATATCTCCATCCATTCTCGAATTATAAAAGAAAATGTTAAAAATTCGTATATCTTAATCGGATCAAGTTACCTTAGGAAACAAATAAGAGAGAACAAAAATTTTATTATCTAGAACCTTCCTTCACACTTTATCCAAGCTTAGAACTGCTTCAAAACTACTTTTGAGGCGTGTTGAAAAGCCAACGGATCAATGAAACATCAACAATGATAATAAAACAAAATAAACCAAAACACTTAGAATAACTTAAATTTTTGGCAAAAATAACTCACTAATGTGCGAAATGCCTTCCATAAACCTCGATGCATTTATTTAATCTAGTTTCGACGAAAAAAAAGCGCTGCTTAAGTCTCGGCCCTGGACACGTTTTTACTGGTATTTAGTGTTTTGTCATATTTTCCCTGGTTATTGGTTTTTCTTGAAAAGTCAGGTCGTTTAGTCTACCCAATAGATAAAGGGGTGAAAGCAATGTGGGTTTTGCTCGAACCAAGAATGCATATTATGCAAGTTTACATCAGCTTGTGGACAGATGCTTCATGCATCCATAGCATTTGTGATAAAAGGTTTGGATTTGCCCAAATCATATTTAAAAGTCAATGGTAATAGTTCAGTCTGTTATCATAATCGGTATCTGTTAAGGCCTGATGTAAAACAACGTGGTGGAGATATTATTCTCTTGAGAACTCTTGTGGACAATTGTTTTCGGAGTTCCCAGATTATGTGGGATCACATTGCGCACCAATGTGATTTACGAATTCATAGAGATGTCTGAATGGGCTACACGTTGCCAGTTTTCCGTAATCGCTAAGTCAATCTTAAAAACACTTCTAGAGAAAAATGTCTTTCTTTGTCGTAATTGCATTGCACATTTTTGCCATGCAGTTGCATCGTATTCGAAACATTGAAAATAAATCATCATACGCTCTATCATACGCTTCTGCGTTAGTAAATGACATGTTTACAGTTACCATGGTTATGTGATTTGTTTTTCTCGATGAGGTAACTGGATCCGATTGATGGCACTCGAGTTTTTAACATTTTCTTCTATAACTCGAGAACGGGTGGCGATATCGAGATGCGGTTTTCACTAAAATTTAGCAAATTTTAAGGTGACTAAGGGTCTGTGAAGTAAATAGTATCGTTCCATTTAACTTTTCTTCAAAAATCACAAAAATATGTAATCGCTGCAGATAACGTCCTCTAGCTCATTTGTTTTAAAGCAGACGGTCTTACTGAAAATATCTTTAAAAAGAGCATAAAATGCTTTTTCAAACAACACCGAAAACATTCAAATCGGTTGAATGGTCTAGGAGATATTAAAATGTACCTCTTGGCCTTACCGTTCTAGAGATACAGTACGCTTAACGGGACACCCTGTATATATTTATTAATTTTTTAATCAATTGATTAATTTAGCTCCTAATAGTTATAACATTAATTTGAAGAGTAATTCACCTCGATATTCCTTTGGGTTAAGGATTAATCAAAAGTTAACAACAACAAAAACACCCGGTTAGTTCAAATTAAAATATTCATTAACCCCAAATTATTATTTCTCATTAATAATTAGGACCAAACGTTTATCACATTGAAAATGCCGATAAAGTTATGCACAACGCACCACAACATTCGTTCGGAGCTCGAGTTAATTTAGAAAAACCTCTAGATACACCTGGTTAGTAATAAATAGCACTAAATTAATTTTTTTTGTAATTAAATTTCTTTAAATCTAGCACCGAATGTATATAACGTAGATAAAGCGGATAAAGTTTTACACGAAACCTCACCAATGATTACATTTGGATCGCGATTAAATTTAGCAAAACCATTTGATACACCTGGTTAGTTATTTTAACCTTTATATAAAATCAGATAATAGAAACATTTCATATTTGTAGCTCCGAATGTATACAAAGTGGAAATAGCCGACAAAGTTTTACACGAACACTCACCAATGCACACATTCGGATTGAGGACGAACACCGGAAAACCTCTCGATACACCCGGTTAGTTTCAACTAAAAAGTGACTAAACTAACGCATTTAAACAACATTTAGCTTACGAACAATTTAATTTGTATAGCTCCAAATGTGTACAAGATAGAGAAAGCGGATAAAATTCTTCACGATTCAGCGCCAAAAATCTCTTTTGGAGTAAAAACTAATGTTGAAAAACCCAGTGAGACACCTGGTTTGTGTTTAAAAATTATTAACTGTTAATTTTAACATATTCTTATTGCAATTTATTTTTTATTACCACAAATCAAAATTTTTCAGCACCAAACGTATACAAGATAGATGTCTCAGATAAATTATTACACGAACACTCACCAATGCACAGCTTCGGAGCGAGAACCAACTTGGAAAAACCTTTTGATACACCTGGTTAGTTATTTACATTTTATACATTCACTTTTATTATTTTACCTTTTTAACACTAACATCAATTAATCTTACAACAAAGGTTTAATTTCTTTATGCACAATTTTTTTCCAGCACCGAACGTGTACAATGTTAATAAGGGGGACAAAATCACGCACGACTCATCACCAAAACACAGCTTTGGGATAAGGGTTAATACAGAAAAACCTTTAGATACACCCGGTTAGTTACACAAAAAAAAACATAACACCACAATTTTTTTTTGGGTATTTTTATTTACTTATAGCCCCTAATATTTACGCTGTTGACAAGGCCGATAAATTATTACACGAAGCGTTACCTCAATACAGTTTTGGGTTAAAAACAGAAGGGGAAAAACCTTTAAATACACCTGGTTAGTTATAAAAAATAATACAAAAAATTAACGGGACTTGAATTAAAAAAATATTGTTATGTTATTATTAATTTAATTTTTTTTATTGTTTTTATTTTAGCTCCTAACGTTTATAATATACCCCCGGTTGTTGGTGATAAAAAGTCAACTCCTGCGTATACAATTTCTGGGAGACACAAGGAGCAAACTGATGATAGGATAAAAGTGCCTGGTCCTGGAACTTATAACAACGTCGATCCTGAACATTATAAACAACATTCCCCGGCTTATACTATAAGCGCCCGTTATAATTTGCCATCGGATTCAAGTAAAAAACCAGGACCTGGAGAATATTGCCCAGAAAAAGTAAATTGCAACAATAATTTCTTAACAAAATCGTTTGCAAACATATTTACTAACATTATAATATAGGTTACTTCGCATTTAAGACACGCGCCTAAACATTCTTTCGGAATTAGACATTCTGCGTATTTGGGGTCGGAACAATTATGTTTAAAGAAGGATAAAATAAATTATTTGCTTTAAAAAACTAATAAATAAAAAAAAATAGGTGAAGAAATTGAAACGAGGAAATTTTAATCTAAAACATAATTTTTGTTTTTTAGGTTATTTTAGATTTGCCGCCAGCACATACTTTTGGAATAAAACACTCCCCGTTTTCTGAACATTACTAAATTTCATATAAAAGGGATTAAAATGGAAAATTTGAAACGATAAAAATATAAATTACAACAAAAAAGTAAAAATTAACCCAAAAAAAAAATGGAAATAATAATAATAATAATAAACGAAACGACTCCAAATTAAGGGAGAATTATCGAATTAACAAACTCTTGCCTGGGTGCGAATTAATTTAGTTGCTTCATTTTTTTGTAACGAATAGCTTGTTTCATTAAGTTTTCCAAATTTTAACTTGTTCGAACTCGTTAATTAGTTTAACTCGACGTTGCGTTCCTTTTTCTGCTCGTTCGCATTTAACCGATGCAGTCCTGTTTTATTATTTTTTTTTTTATAAAGAAAATACTCGAAATTATTTTGTAGTTTTCTTTAAGCCAACTTCCGTTTTACAAATTAGATGTCGCTGGTAAGTAAATTTAAACAACTTTTAATAGATGTCGCTATATTTTTAATTAAATCAGTTAAAGAATTGTACAGTGAATTTTATTTAAGATGCAATATACTAAAATATATTTCCATAGAAACCCTACTTACTTTAAACTAAGATTAGAACTAACACTAGAAGCTTTCGGGTTTTGCCGTGCGTCTTTTAATAAAAGGTTTGACGTTTCGGATGCCATGTTGCAA